TTGGATCTTTTGCTCACGTTTCCGAACCAATGGAGCCTCTTTTTGGCCAGCTTTTCTGTGATTAATGGCACATCTAAAGTGCATCTTATGGTGTCCGGTGTATGTGCAGTTAGTATATAGCAAGAGACCAGTATTTTAAAGACTTAGAATGGTGGCAAAACAGCGCAGCGTACTACAACGCTGGTTGGACGCATAATCATGATTAAGTAGAAACAAAAAGCAAGGAATGACTATTAAACTCTGGTTAACACACCGGTATCCTCAATAGGCCTAAGATCAAGATAGGAGTTGACTATAATTGAACGACTGGTGGATCCTAAACCATTAACTCTAGATCAAGATTTTCTCACGCTAGAACCGAAGCATCGCAAATCTTGACCATGAATAGAATAAGCAGGATAGGCAAACAAGTTAAAATCAGTCTTGCGTTCGACAACGAATGTTTTTTCTGTGACGCTACACTGCTTTATGGCCAGTGCTGGAAACTGCATGAGCTAAAACAAACCTGAAACGTTCAGTAAACGGATCAAAGTAGGAATGAGAACAAACTAACTAGTTAGTTATCAGTTAATTCACAGTTATAAGCTATAAGGATTTTAATTACTCCTGTAGCTTTGGAACGCAATTCGCTGACGAACTCTTTACTGCTGACTTCGTCTTTAAAGTTTTTGCCACAGTTGCTAACGCACGAATCTAAGACCGACAACGCAGCCATGATGACGTGCGGATCGCGATGGTTCAGGCGCTTTTTCAGTGAGAGAAGGCAATCCTTTCCAGCTTTGCTGTCGCCTTGACTTACCCGGTCACAGATTTCCAGAATTAGATACCAGTTCTCACTAGCTTGCTTTTCGGTAGTGGCCGACTCTGGAAAGAAAGCAACAAATAAGGGCTGCACTCGTCACAATCAAACTATTTACCAACGATTTCATCAAACGGTGAAGAAACGCTTCCAAGGAAGCTGAGAGGCATTCTTGCGATCTAACAAACGCGTCAAGAGACAGCAGCTACGTCACCGCCTGGAGCCAACGAATCACGGCGATATCAAGAACGATGAAAGAACACTGAACGAACAAACGAAAATAGTCGGCATGGAAATAAGAAAATAAACGTACTTAAGCGCCACTCCCGGTGGCAACGATGCACGGGCAGAATCGCTTCAGAACCAAAAATGTAATGGCACTAATACTAAAACCTTTAAACACGTTCGGACATCTTAAATGATTGTCCGATTAAGCAAATTCATTCAGTAGCAGGCTCAGCACAGCTTAAGATTGAAAACTTAGTGATCTGCTCGTACTTCGAAACAAACACCATACGAACAGTTTGCTAGGAACATCTCGTTCACTGCACGTGTTAATAACAGACATGTTCGAACCTTCTGCTAAGAGGTTCCTCCGAAAAGTACGCTGCAGTGCTATTCCCGTAGTGCTAACCTAACAACCTCAAATCCTTTCAATTTATTCGTTATCCATTCAGGGCGATAACTTGAAGCAATGAAACACACGAAGAATTCATACAGAATCGTAAAAGAGAGTAGAAAATGACTGCTGTCAACTGAAACGTACGCCAGCGGATTAGAAACGAACGAGAACTAGGTGTAGATGGAGTTAAGATACTGGAAATGGATAGAGTTGGAACCTCTGCTAACCAACGTTGCAGTTCCAAGATCTCGAAAATGTGTGGCTGTTTTCTGCTCTGGAGCTGCTCCAATCATGTTCGCACAAGAGGAGCAGCGATCTTGGAAAGCCCTCGACAGACTGGTTCCAAAAGGGGAAGGTCCAATATATGGAAGCTGAGTTGGAAAGTGAACGCTGGCAAGGACGCAAAATCAATAATGGCCAGAACTCGAGGCACCAAATTCGAAAAGGTGACTGGAAGAAGCTGTACAATCCGGTGAGCATCAACAAAAGTAGTGAACGAAAACGTATCATCGGCTTAATATACATCTAGTCCAATGAGCCGATGCAGGGATTTAACAGTGGTCAGAAACGACGGGCCGAAAATTGCGCAGAATTTCTAAATAGGCCGGACTGGCCCTGCGGTAGAACTTAAATGAAAGAGGACAACAGATAAGACCTGGCATCGATTGAAGACACTCGAGAGCAGAACACCTCTGTCGAAGAACAAAGTGCTACCGGCACAAAGGGAGTGGAGCGAAAATCCTGAAATGAGGCGGCGAAAACTTTCTCAGTTGGATCTACTGATCTTTAGTAGTATCTGGTGGAAGTCAATGATCACCCAAGGCTGGAAGAAAGACATGATCATCGTGATTTTTAAACCATCGCTGATTGCACAAACAGCTGAGAAATTACCCTTTTGCCTGTTTTTGAGCAAGTGCTCGCGTGAAGTATCTCTGGAAGTTTGAAGGAGGCCACAGACAATTCGCTGCAGAAAAATTAGAGGTTTTCGGACGGACACTCCTGCATAGACAACATCTTTGTGCTAAAAAATAACTGAACAGTGCAAGAGCTTTTAACTGCCCTAGCACGCGAAATTTTCGGCTTTCATGCAACCTTCGACTCGGGTAATTGCCAGGCAATGTGGCGTGTGATTCGACACTATGATATTCCACAAGTGATGGTAAATTTGACTGAAAGTCGGTAGGAAGGGATTAAATGCGCCGTAGGACGAAATCTAATGAAGGATCATCATCGAACTGATTTAATATCGTCAATGGAATAGGTCAAGGCGAACTACTCTATTTGTTGTTTAACACAGCGTGGCTAATGTTATACGAAAGTGCGTCTTCCAAAATAGTGACAATGTACTGATCGTCACTTGAAGCGATGCAGCTCAAGATATTAATATATGAAGATATCAAGATTTGGCGTTATTCCTAACAGATCTTTGTATGCCGATGACACCTACTGCTGCGCGAATTTTAATGGCCTGCTAACACTCATCGAAAGGGTGTGCCTGGAGTAAGTGAGGCTACAAGTCAACGCCAAGAAAGCGAAACTTCTGAGAACACCCGCAGCGACCGTCAGCCCGAAGATACAATAGGATGGTATCGTGATGGACGAGGTAGACAATTTCCGGAACCTCGAAACTGTGTTGGATAACACCGGTGGCGAATCGGCGTATCAGACGCATCAACGAATTAATGCAAGCAGAATAATAAGTGTAAGGATCAGACTACAAGACCAGACAAGAAGATGAATATTCTGAAAGCAGTCGCATTTGCTGCGTTTATATACAGCTTCAAAACGTCTGTCGTCCTTACGTACAATGAAGCGTCTAGGCAGCTTCCAACGACGACTTCTTCGCGATATCCTCAAAATTCGACTGACCAACGGGTCACGAACGAACAGCTGCGTATGACAGTCGATCTGAGAAAACCGTCAGATA